GGCAGTCTGAACTTCCTAAGTTGGTGTAGGAAGAACATTCTTTGTTGTACCTTTGTAATGATGGTTCTAATGTTCATTTCAAACCCTGAGAGGTTATAGAACCCAATAATTTTTTGGTTCATGATAAAGGTTCTTTGTTGCTTTTGGGGGGTGCCAGAAAAAGATCCCAAAGATGTGATTTTTTTAAAAAGGAGGCAACTGGACTTTCTTGTTTTTCTTTGAAGGTGCTTCGCTTCTCATCTGAGAAGCTTCTTCAGCTCTGACTGGATGGTGAGGAATGGAAGGATTCAAAGCTTTTGAGTTGAAGAAGCTTTTTAGATGAGAAGCGAAACGTCTTCAGAGAAAAACAGGAAAGACCAGTCACCTCCTGGGGTTAAAATAGCGCCTTTGGGACAACCATGACCTGAGTGACTGAGAATTTCCATAGAAATGTACTGGAAAAGAAATTGATATTTCAAGGCCCTAGCTCACTTCTTTGCTTTCCTTGATTTATGACTATTTGCATAGCGGTCATTTGAGGTTACAACACACCTCAAGAGATTTACAATATAGATTTGAAGTTCTGAGAGCACCCACCCTACCCACCCCCATGTAGCCATGTGACCACATTTTGGGCACTTGGCAATCAGTAGCACTTATATTCACATGACCATATTTTTCCTGGTTTTGCCAGGAACTTGTTTTTAGTTTTGGTTTCTGACACACACACCCCAAAGACCCATAGAGAACAATAAGTTGGCTTAACAACCATGGTATTCACTTTATGAGTACTTTGCTTTATGACTGCGGCAAAAAAGGTCACCGATATATGGTGACCCGCGTAACAACTATCATGTTTTATGACCGAAATTGCAGACTCCATTACCAGTTGTACGTTGAGGTCTATGTGAAAATGAAAGAGCTATAAAATGTATCTATGGAGATTCTCAATCATCCAGGTCATGGTTGTCTCAAAGGGTAACTGGACTTTCTGGTTTTTCTTTGAAGACATTTCACTTCTCATCTAAGAAGCTTCTTCAACTCTGAATCCTTCCATTCCCCACCGTCTAGTCAAAGCTGAAGAAACTTTTTGGGTGAGAAGTGAAACATCTTCAAAGAAAAAAACAGAAAGTCCAGTTGCTTCTTGAAAAAAGCACCTTTGGCAGCTAAAAATATATGTTAGAAAACATGAATTGATGCCCTCTAGATTATTGGCAGTAATCAATTCAATTCCTAAAGATAGGATTTCGGCAAAGCTGGCAGCGCCTTCTGTTGATTAAAAACTCTTTAATTTTAATGGTGGCATTTCATGAAAGCATTTCAGAACAAGTGAGATTCCGCCCCAGGATGCCTCCTTACCCAGAAGAACATAAAGCAGACTTCACGCTAGCTTCTTTTCTTTTTAGGATTGACATTAATATAAATTTATATTATCCAGAATTGGCTAATAAGTCCATTTCAGATTATTTTTATATTTATTTTGGGTGGTAAAAAAATGCAATTTGGTTTAAGGCAGTGTGTTGAAGCCTTGTTCTCTGGAAAAAGTATCTCATTATTCTTTTTTTTTTTAACTGTACTCTTTGGTGGGAAAGCTTGCCGACTTTATCCGCCAATGGAAAATAAATAGCAACATTGTAGGGCAAACTAAAGCCTTTAAATATCTGTGAATTATTTTTCAACCCTTCTTTGCTGCCTGAAAAAAATAAATAAAAGCTGTCGCAGATTAGACCCATAGGACTGTCAATGCAATTTAGTATTTGCTGGTAGCATAAATTATTATTATGTACTCGTTGCTTTAACTATCTGCAAAACTGAAGTGATTCCCCTTTTGTTTTCTGGTTCCCAAATTTGGATTTCTAAAAACTCAAATTCTCACAAATGGTCCAATCCAAAGGTTTAGGATCAATATGTTCTGAGGAACCTCAAGTATAAAACTCATTAGGTTAGGAATCCTGGCTACTTCATTTAAGGAGCTTTTAGGTACTCTGACACCTTAGATTTTGGTTTAAATGGATGTTTAAGGAAACATTTCCCTTGATTCTTTTACAGTTTTCAGTCATCCTGGGGGAAAAAAAAGAAAATGCAAAATTCTTGACTACTACAGTCTTACAACCTGGTATTTGGTTTCATTGGTTCATTCAGGAGAGTCAATATAAAGTTAAAAGAGAAAACACAGATCTTTAAAGCAATTGAAGCTTAGTCCCTATGGGAGTAATTTGGGGTGGAACACCATTGCCTTTCTAATTCGGATTGGCTTTTCTTCCTCCTAAACTGTCTTGTCAGGTCTGATGAAGAGAAAGCTTGCCATCAGTTGGCCCCAAAGTATCTGCAGAAATACCTAGAAAGATGGCTAATTTTTTCACAGGTGCTATTACTATTAAAGCTATACTATACTTGATTATTAATTGCATACATTTGTCTAATCTTCTTGTGACCTTAAAAAAAGTTAAAGGAGTTCCCAGCGGATTTTACTCCACTAGTTGTTGCCGACTTTAGCAGGTGGTGCTCCTCTCTGTTTCAAGGCCATTAACCCAAAGTCATTTTTGTGATCATGTGACCACCATGACACCATAGAGTGCTGTTACCTTCCCACCAAAGTGGTACCTATTTATCTACTCACATTTGCATGCTGTCAAACTGCTAGGTTGGCACGAGCTGTGGCAAGTAACGGGAGCTCACCCCATCGTCTGGGTGAGTTCCCGTTACTTGAACCCGGGCTGCTAGCTTTCCATTCAACAAGCCCAACATTTTAACTGCTTAGCCACGGTGTCTTCTTGTGATATGGTCAGAATTAATTGGTTTCCACATATCTTTGTGAATTTCAAGTGTTTTTTTTTTTAAAAATGAAGGTTTTACATTTTGTACTCTGCCTCTCTTTGTTTTTTGACAGCTCATCTTTGACCATAACTCAAAATTAAATCTAGATTGCAGTAAGTTCATGTGAAAGTAAGAATTCATAGGATGAATGATACTGCTCACACAGCATTGGATGATGATAGTTTCAAGTTACTTTCCAACAAATGATTGGGATAGAATCATTTGCTGGAAACGATAGAATCTGGAATAAGCTTTGGAGAAAAATAATGCAGTGTTCTACAATATATCTTTCTCTCATATTGCCATGAATGCAATATGGAGAAAGTTATAAATATAGATATAATTATATTTTGTTAGTTGACAAGATGGATGGGTGAGAATAAAACAATACAGGAAAAAGTGAGTCATGTGGAAAACCAAGAATAGATAAAAATGGTGATAGTTTGGTCAGCATCTTTTTAGAAAAAGGTTTGTTATCAATATGGGCTTTTAAGCATATATTTTTGATGGAAAGGGATGAACATGATAAAAACATGATTGATTTGATTTAATATTTTGAAAGTTTTTGGGAGAATTGGTGAAGGTTTAACAGTACTGATGGAAGAGAATAGCTCAGGGTCCTTGGTGCTCTCTGACTTTGGTTGTTTTCTTGCACACATTTCATTACCAAACTATGTAACACCATCAGTGTTAGAAGGAAGTGGCATTTGCTCTCTTGATATAAGCTTAATGAGAGATTCATAATGTGGGCAGACCTAAAGGCAATGTGAACTTAGAAGAAAAGGAAAGTAGTAAAAGAAACAAGAATAAGAGTAGAAAGATTGCAAGAAGAGAAAGTATTAAACCTGTACAGAAAAGTATAGATGGCAGGATAGGAAAATGAATGGGAAATGGATGTAAGGAAAGAAAGGCTGCATGGAACAGAATAAAAATAACTATTTTACGAAGTGCCACATTTATATGTAGAGTTATACTAATGGAAAATGAAAATGGACCTGGTGGAATAATAGGCTTTGGGTAACAAAAATAATGCATACAGTATAGGAGAATGAGCTCTGTGTGTGTGTGTGTGTGTGTGTGTGTGTGTGTGTGTGTGTGTGTGT